CCCTTAAGAACTTAGGTTTTAGCTCAGGATGAAGGATCCAACACCTGTATCTAGTATGCCTAGTGGTATCATAATAATTACACTTTAAATTAGGTTTTTTCCTTTGTAAAACTTTGCTTCAACTCGATTGTTGCTAAAGATATAAGCCCTAGTTTCAGGTATACTAGTCTTAGTTTCTTGACTCATCACTTTCTTCCTCACTTCTTTCCTTTGAATGATAGCATTAACAATAGTGAAGGAAGGAAGCTCAGAGTTCCTCAAAATGTGGCTTCTAAGATCTTCAAACTCTAGACCCAAACTTGCCAAGAGTTGAAAGATCTTGTCCTCCCCAGCTCTCTTGATAGTAGCATCAATGGTATAAGGACGGTAAACATTAAGCTCATTCCACATACTTGTCAGGCTACCAAGGTGTTGAACAAAGGGCTTCCCTGTTTGTTGCAAACTTGAGATGTCTTTCTTGAGCTGGAAGACATGTGCATCATTGTTTTGGTTGCCACACATTTCTTGAACTTGCTTTTATAAGTGCATAGATGATTCCGAATAGTTGAATATTTCAACAATTTTATGCTCTATGGAATTAAGTAACTAAGACATGACCAACTGGCCTTTACATAACCACGACTCATAGGTAGGAGAGGTGGTTTCAGGTGCTTCAATAACACCATTGACAAAACCTAGCTTAGATCTTAGGTAAGGTAATTGAATTCATTCAACAAAATGGAACTAAGACGTTGGTTGGCATTGACTTCAACATCAGATTAAGCTAAAGCAGTCAAAGAGCTTTCAACTTCAGATGAATTTTCTTTAGCCATCATGGTGTGAAGGAAAAGAAAGAAAACATAGTGGAAACAACAGAGTCTAGAATTTAGGGTTCCTGCTCTGATACCATGTTGAATTTTAGAGTTGTATTTTTCATGAAATGAAACCTTTACAAGAACTAAACATATATAGGAAAGAGGAGAGTGAAGAAACAAACTTTAATCAATCCCTTTAATTAGTGCTTGAAACACTCCTAATCTATTTACAATAACAAGAAAAGCAAAGTCCCTTAATTGAAGGGAAAGTACAACATGAATAAGTATCTAGGATAAAACCCTTAACCCTTGCTGAGAGTTATACACTAGATAAACAACCAACCCTAATTGATAATGATTGATGCAATAAGACTTCCAATAGCCTCCAACTTCCAACATGTATATGGAGTGAGTCTCCACGTGAGGAGAGTGCAACCTCTTTCTACCTCTGCCCCCTTTTTCCTTCTTCAAATTAAACAAGTTCTGCTGAAAACTAAAGTTGTTAGACTAAATAATGTGCTGCTAGCACCTATGAGTAATAATATTATGCTGATGTTTAATTTGTTTGGATCCCTCATTCTATCCAGTCTCCTCATTCTCTCCACTCTGCAACTCATTCCAACAATCCACTACATTTTAATTCCTTAGTCATAAATCACCCTTGCAAAAAATTCAAGACAATTAAGACATAAAATTCAAGTAAAATAGATGAATACGGTGCTTAAAAGAATCACAAAAATGACTATCACTTACCCAAACAATCATATAGTTTTTAATTTGATAGACTTTTGAAAAGACTATATCTTAGAGAAGGCCTAAACCAAATAGTTGGATGGTTGAAACAATGTGGAGTGAGCCATACAAAGGTTTTCTTTTCTAAGCCTCGCAATGGGCTTGCATTCATGGTTCAAATTCATCCTTGGCGATAATCGAACCTAAGGTTATATGAGTTGCATATCAAGGATTAAAACTAAATGCCATCCTTTTTTTTTTTTTTTTTTTTATTATCTAAACTACATATTAATAGAACTCACTTTGTCAACAAACAAAAAAAAACAATGAAATTACAATTATAACCTTTAATACGCAACTAAAAAAAATGTGAGAAATGAAAAAAGGGGGCATTAAAGTAATTTTGAACTAACTTTTTGCTTTTTTTTTTTTTTTTTTTATCTAAACCTCATAGCCATGTCGCCCTAACACTACCCTCTAAACTCACTCTCTTTCTCTCTCTATAACTGCCAACACTTTTTCTTTCTGATGCTTGCATAACTCCTAAAAAAAAAAAAAAAAAAAAAAATTTAAAAACAATATTTGAGAAAAATAAAAACAAAAATTATATTTCTCACACATGGAGTGTGTGACATTTGCTAGTTATTATTTAAGACAAGGTTCAAAACTGTAACATTAAAGAAACCCTAGCCTCCCTTCCTTTTCTCTTGCCCAGGAAAAGAAACCCCATTTATCTCCATAGCCACCGACCCCTTCCTTGGGCGGGGTTGGTGGTAGCCCCCTTTCTTTAGTTTTTCTTGCTTTCTTTCTTGTTTTCTTTCTATTTCTTGTCTCTAGTAGCCTATTTTATCTTACGGTGTTGTGCTTTGAGCTTTTGTGTCTTAGTTTATTTTGAACTCTTTGTCTCAGTTTGCTCTGAGTTTTATCTCAGTTCATGATGCATCTTTCCTCCCCAATTGTTGTTCCTATTCATGAATCCTCTATCATCAACCTTGGCTACTTGTTTCATCGGAAAGCTTAACCAAGCTTCTTCTTTAGAAGGGTGTTCTGGTGTTCGGTGGCTTTTAGAGGATTATGGGAGTGCTCCCTGCGTGGGTGGCCCACCCTTATTTTCTGTTCATTCATTTGGTTCCTTGGTTTGTCTTCTTAATGGTGTAGGCGTTGTAAAGGTGCAGCGACTTGCTTGGTGGAGGCGGCTTTTTCCTTATTTCAGATCTAGGTTTTCAATTGGAGTTTGCTGTGGTCTATCTCTTGTTTGGGCATGTGGTCTTTTTCTTCCTATTCATTGTATTTTCTATTATGTTGGATTGTGTTTTACTTGTTTGTTTTGGGTTGTCCTTCCCTCGTAATAGCCTTCTTTATTAATGGATTTTATAATCTTTGACAAAAAATAATAATAATAATAATAAGTAGGAGTTCTGGATGCATGGGTGAAAACGCAACACCTTATCCACTAGGATATTGGAACACATGTAAAATAACATTAGATATCATGTCATATATATCATTTAACAAAAATACACATCAATAGTCCATAGGAAATAGACATAGCCATCAATATGTACGAAGGTACTCTTACAAACCATGCCGTCCTATAATGCTTCTTGCTTTCCTTTCATGTAGTTGCCTCGACCAAGTAGTAGCCTCCAGCAATCGATGTCTCTTGCAAATAAATGTATCCTTAATGTTCAAACACAATCGAACCAAAGCAATCGTTTCCTTCATAGGCCATAACCAAAGGCTAATATAAAGTCTGAAATGAGAAATTTTTTTGCAACATATATATGGGTATGGTTGTGTTGAGGATGAAAGATTGCTTGAAGGCATGTTTAAATACGCTATATCTAGCATGCAAAGGGATATGCGAATGAGCCATAGGATATAATAAAACCTACCCTTACGCCTATTGTTTGTCAAAATTTGTAGAGAATTTTGTAGGGTAGTTAGTCCCCCAAAACTTTAGAACTTGTCCTCTATTTATAAAGGAACTTGTGTTTGTTTCTGACATGGTTTAGCAACCTATAGGATGATATGGGCTGAGATATGGGGTGACTGATACCTATACTGTCAGTTTTCAGTTTTCCTTTTTCCGTGGGATTCATTATTAAGCCTAATCCCCTAATTTGAGGAAGATTGACAGCTAGTTAACTTGTTGACAGTTGTGTGCTAGTTGCTTGCTGCACTCCCTTAATTTAAGGAGTGACAGCTTTAGGGTTTATCCGATTAGTAGAGTTTGTTAAGGGAAGGTTGCTTGTAACCATCTCCCCCATTTTATATATACCTTCTTGTACATTCATTCAATCTATGAAACATACATTTAAATCAACGTAAATTCCCATATGGTATCAGAGCAGTGTCATCCTTGACATGTCTCCGCCAAATTCTTTTCCGCTGTTGTTCATCTCTAATCTTCTTCCATGGCTGAAGAAAGCTCAGTGCATTTGGAAGGCGATAGCTCTCATGTTTTCCTTTCAAATTTGTCTGATGTGGACGTCAACACAAACCTGCATCCTTTTTCAGTATTACTAAACGAGTTCAACTATTTACCCTTAGTCTAGGGCAGTCTCCCTTATGTTGGGAGGCAAAGGAAAACTAGGGTTCATCAATGGAAGTAACGAGGCACCAGAAACTAAGTTTGCAACATATGAGGCTTGGTTATACAAAAACCAACAGGTTATGTTGATGCTTCTTAATTCAATTGCGAAACACATTGCTGAAATCTTCAGCTATTCCGCGTCTTCACACGATTTATGGAAATCTATGAAGGACATGTATGGGAATCAAAATAATTATGCTCGAGTATTCCAGCTAAAGAGAGACATTGCCAGTCTCCAACAAGATGAAGAAACCTTTGTGCAGCACTTGGGAAGCCTCAAGACTATGTGGAATGAGTTAGATGTCTATCTACCTCATACCATTGATGTTGCAGTTCTGCTGAAAAGGGTTGAAGAAGACAAGATATATCAGTTGCTTGCTAACTTGAGCTCGGATTATAAGGATCTCAGGAGCCACATTCTAATGAATGTCAAACTTCCTTCCTTCAAAATAGTATGTGCCACTATTCAATGTGAAAAAGGGCAAAAATCCACACTTGAAGTGCAGTTACTATAATGCAGTAAGTCACGTTAAGGGAAAGTGCTGGATTCTTGATGATCACATATTTAACTATTTATTTACTCCAAAAGTTACATTTTCTTATGATAAGTTGGATGAAAATGAAAGGAATTTCAGAGATTTGTGCCTTTATGACTAGATTAATAGTAAGGCAACATTCCTAAGACTTTTTCTAATTTTTAGTCAAAGTGGAAGTTGTTGGAGCTTTTGCTCTTTTGGATTCATATGTAGGCATTATTTAAATTCATCTTACTTTCAAAAAATTTATGTAGGGTCTACATGGTAAAAGCTGGCAATATTTCTTTGGAGAAAAAGATGGACCATTTTGTTTTGCTTCCACGTGGCCACTTCAATACCTAAAGGCATCAAACTTCAATTGACCTCTCTCAAAAGGTAATTGAAAGGCTTGCGATTTGTCCCAATTTCTAGGAGCAAGACGAGAGTCGCTTAAGCACTTTTCCCCTCTCCCTCGCGTCAAAATTCCTACTTCTGATTCAAAACCAACGGATCCAATCAACCTTTCCCTCCTCAAGAGAGTACTTCCTCCACCAAATTTTTTGTCAATGGATCTTTGCGAGAAGATGAATCTATAGCATTGGGTTGATTATCTTAACTTTTGGAGTTTGGGCAATTTTTGAAAAATGGCAAAGAAGACTTGGAAAGTGAAATTCGAGTTGCACAGTTGCGGGATAAGGAAAAGGAAAGCAAAGTGAAATTCGAGTTTGATTTTCTTGTGGTATGTGTTCTCTTTTGTTATTGGTTTTGGTTGTTATTGGTTTTGGAGTGAAGGCATCGAAGAGAGAGACTTGGTTGTTGCATAAATGGATTTATTTATGGCAATGAAAGAGTTGTTGAAAGGAAGGGGGAAGACAATTGCAATAGAGCACAAGGATTTTTCAGTGTTTTTCTAAACTCAGTTTTCTTCTCATTTTTATTATGAATTCAATAATATTTTCGATTATGTTTCGGAACTAATTTTTCTTAGCTAGGGCTACGATGTAGCCATGACTATGAATGGTTATATTCTCTAGTGAATTATTTCAAGTTTTCAATTTCATCGAGTATCGTTTTCTGTGTTTATATGCTTGGTTTTATTCTTGGTGATTAGCTACCATCTTGACTTTTACTTGGTAAATTTGATGCAAGTTATGTAGATGCCATGTTTTCAATTTGAATGATAGCTTCTTGCAAATAGATACTATGAATTACCTAGTAGTAGATTCCGTACTCTAGGATTTGTGTAGTCCTTATATAAATTTCCACTGATCGTAATGAGTTTCATTATGTTAAACTAATCCAGATGCCATGGATGGTTGCATATTGGGATATACGTAATAGTCTAGATGCCATAGATATTACATGTGTTAGGGAGATTTTACTATCAATGAGAGTGAGTACTTCTTAATAATTCATTGTAGAAAATAAGTTGGGTTGGTTATGGTGAGTTGGATGCTGGTGAGTCGAATGCTCTAGCGTTTTACTCAACTGAATTACAATTTGTGTTCTTGGCTGCCACTTTTTGCATTGTGATCAAACTTTCTTGTTTTAATTTTTTTTTTTTTTACTATTAGTTTCAATTCTCAAATCCATCTTTCATCAATCTTTGTTAAATTTCACTACATTGCAATTGGATTTAAGTTAGTTAACAAGAATTAAATCATTTTCTGAGGTACGATATTAAGTGCTTGCTTTCTATACTATCGAATGATTCATACGCTTGCAAGCATAAAATTTGGAACTAAGTTGGACTAATTTCGGTTAGTTTAAATTTTGCAACAGTTTCTGCATCCCAAATTGAAACCTAAGTTCACCAAGTATCACAAAATGATTCATTCAAATCAGTTCAGCTTGTACAAAACTCAATATACAACCTATCACAGCTCTAGTTCATTCACTAAAGGTATTCAGGACTTCATTTCGAATCCTGTCTTTGCAAGTTACTTGCAGAACAAGGGATGTAGAGAAGATGCAGAGAGCTCACAGGCTACAACTGAAAATCCCATTGCTCTACTGGGACAGCTCGCAGGTTTCCTTGCAAAGCTCCAGGTATTTTTAGTGCATTCTCAACGGCTCTACACACTAGTATTGAACATGATTGTTGGATTATCGACTCAAGAGCCACTGACCATATGACAAACAAAGCCTCCAAGTTACACAGTTTTCAAACTTTGTCAAAACCTTCTCATGTGTCAGTTGCTAATGGAAAAAATGCCATGGTTTTGGGCATGGGAATAGTAAAATTGTTTTTAAACAACCTTGATTCTACTACATTGTTTGTTCCTACCTTTGCTTTTCTTCTGTCAATAGAAAAGATCACTAGAACCGTAAAGTGTCTTGTCACTTTCTCACTAAGCAGTGTTGTGTTTTAGGATTCTCTCACCAAGAAAACGATTGGTGAAGGGTTCTTCCTTAATGGTCTTTACTATCTATGCAAGGAACCTCATATAGGAAAAGCCTTCCAAGTTGATTCAATTCCTTCCAAGGACCAACAAATCAGGCATCAAAGATTAGCCTATCTACCAGAGGCTATTTGCTTAAACCTTTTCCCAAAATGTATCAATCATCTGCAATGTGTGATATATGTCAGTTTACCAAGTTTAATAGACTCCCTTTTAGTTCCTCAATGTATAGGGCTAGCAAACCTTTTGAACTTGTACACTCTGATTTTTGGGGTCCAACTATTGAATCTTTTGATGAATATAAATATTTTGTTATCTTTGTGGATGATTTTTCTAGAACAACATGGCTATATCAGTTAAAATAAAATAAAAAGGTCTTTACTATGTTCAAAGACTTTCATCAACTTGTCATAACTTAATTTCAGTCAACCATTAAGAACCGAAGAACCGATAATGGCACTGAGTTCTTATCCGAGCTCTCCTGGTATTATTCACCAAACAAGTTGTGTGGGAAACCCACAACAAAATGGGATCTCTGAAAGGAAGAACAGGGATTTACTTGAGAAGACCCGTGCATTGATGTTGCATATGAACATACCAAAGAAATTTTGGTCACAAGGCATTCTCACTGCAACCTATTTTAATCAACTGATTACCTAGTCGTGTTTTAGAGTTTAAGTCTCCTTATGAAACTCTTAAAGGAAGGCCTATAACTTTATCACATTTGAGAGTCTTTAGTTGCACTTGCTTTGTTCATGTTTAAGCATTGCACCATGCGAAACTAGATGTTAGGGCTGTAAAGTGTGTCTTCATGGGATATTCATCAACCCAAAAAGGTTACAATGTTTCCATCCTATTACTAACAAGATGTTTGTCTCTAAGGATGTAAAATTTGAGAAAACTGTTCCTTATTTCTCCAATGAGGTTGCTCACTCCTGAGAAGGGGAGCTAATGTGTGATTTATTTCCTTAACTTACGTGCATTGATCACTCAGTGCACTTAGATCCTAAAGCCACTAGCAATCATAGACAAGAAGAGATTGTGAGTGACACTACTCCTATGTCTTCTCAACCTAGAAACCTGGAGGATGATACTGAGTCTACTCAAGATGAAAGCCACGAAGAAGATCCCACTTTAACTTTTCCAAGGCATAATCATGTACGTGCTCGACAACCTCTAGCAAGGCTCCGAGACTATGTCACCTTTGCTTCCAAATACCCCATCACTGAGGTGCTAAATTATAGTCATGTCCACCCCAATCATGCCACATTCCTGGCTGAAATCTTCCATCACATTGAACCATGAACCTTTCAAGAAGCTTAACTAATTCCTGAGTGGAGAATTGCAATGAAGGATGAACTTCATGCCTTGAAGAACAATCAAACATGGAGCATTGTGAAGTTACCACCGAGGAACAAGGCTGTTGGGAGTAGATGGATCTATAAGATAAAGTTCAAGGCTGATGGAGTGTCACGAGGCTAGATTGGTTGCATGCGGTATTACTCAAACGTTTGGAGTATACTACAAAGAGACATTTGCTCTAGTAGCCAAAATGAACTTTGTTATGGTTCTTCTGTCAGTGGTTGTGAATTGTGGCTGGCCATTGTGTCAAATGGATGTTAAAAATGCATTCCTTTATGGGGATTTACGAGAAAAAGTATATATGCAACTTCCACCAGGTTCTTCTCAAGGAAAAAAGCAATCTATGGTTTAAACCAATCTCCACGTGCATGGTATGCCAAGTTAAGTTCAGTGTTGGAAGCTGCTGGTTTTGTTCAAAGTAATGCAGACTCATCCTTGTTCACTCGTAAATGATTAGCTGGTATATTGGTGGTTTTCATCCATTTGGGCAATCTCATCATCACAGGTGAAAATGAAGTGGAAATTGAAGCTTTCAAGAAATCTCTTAATCACACATTTGCCATTAAGGACTTAAGGAAACTAAAATATTTCCTTGGCATTGAAATGGCAACATCGCCAAAGGGTTTATTTTTAAATCAGCGCAAGTATGTTGTGGATCTTGTCATTGAGGCTGAATTACTCGATTGCAATATGGATGGAGAACCTTTTACCGATGCGAGTCATTACCAAAGGTTAGCCTGGTTAGTCAATTCATGCATGCACCATCTGTGAAATATCTTCTCATTGTCAAAAGAATTCTACGCTACCTAAAATGCTCTATTGGTAGAGGTATTCTTATGAAGAACAACCACTCCACTTAGATCAGTGGTTACACCGATGCAGATTGGACCGGGAATGCAATTGATAGGAAGTCTACCACTGGCTATTGTACGTTTGTTAGAGGAACCCTCGTCACATGGAAAAGCAAAAAACAGCAAGTTATTGCACGATCTAGTGTGGAGGCTAAGTATCGTGCAATATCATCGACAACAGGTGAGTTAGTTTAGTTAAAAGGGTTACTTTCAGACTTGGGATTCTCTAGTTCTAACCAATGTTGTTCATGTGTCATCAAGCAGCCATGCATAATGCTGCTAACCCAATTTTCCATGAAATGACCAAACACATTGAGGTGGATTGTCACTACATTAAGGCACAAGTTCAATCCCAAGCTATTCAAACCATCCATACTCGTAGTCATGATCAACTGGTAGATGTGTTCACAAAAGCACTATCTTCAGCTTCTTTTCAGCTTATCCTTGACAGGCATGGCTCGATCAATCTCCTCAATCCAGCTTGAGAGGGAGTATTGGATGATATGGCTGAGATATGGGGTGACTGATACCCATGCTATCAATTTTCAATTTTTCACTTTCCATATGATTCATTATTAAACCTAATCCCTTAATTTGAGGAAGATCGAAAGCTCATTGACTTGTTGATAATTGTGTGCTAGTTATCTGTTGCACTCCCTTAATTTAAGGAGTGACAGCTTTAGGGTTCACCCGGTTAGTAGAGTTTGTCAAGGGAAGGTTGCTTGTAACCATGTCCCTCATTTATATATACCCTCTTGTACATTCATTCAATCTATGAAACATACATTTATATCAACTTAAATTCCCACACAACCATTAAAATCCATATACCACTTAGATTGCACCTCTTCAATTAAGGTACCACTTCATGAAAGTTATATCTTATCATTTGAATTTAATTTGACACATCCAGAATATATTTCTGAAGTCCTTTAAGAAATTAAAAAGGAAAGTAAAGAACGCCTCTGAATAGGTGCGAGAAACTTGAATTCTACGTAACAGGTTGGCTGGTCACTCGATAGAGCCGACCAATCAGATACTAGCAGATTCCACTCCAAAGCTGAACGGACTTGTCACCTGGTAAAGAGCTCACCAATAGTCTAGTGTCAGCTTTCCCCTTCATTCAGCTTAATTTCTCCATCACATGACTTGTGTTACGAAAATATTTTAACAATTGTTAGGTACATGAGATTTGAAGGCCAATAATAGTGCATCAGCATCATCACGATCACTATATAGTTTGGTTGGATCATAAGTGCAACTTTCGTTAGATAGTACTCTTCATTCCGGTGAGATCTCTTAATAAAAATGGAGGAGGTTTCCTAAATCCATGGTCTTGGAGCTTTAATCTTTATTCTTTTAGGCCTCAACAAAATTTTTACAGAGATATAACTTATAAGAATAAGAAGACCAAACTTACCACTCATCATTAGCGACCACTTGTGCTACTAAAGCACCTACAGTTGTTTCTGCTTTTGCTTCCATTTCGATGAGAGAGTTGCACACATTCTTTTTCTCTTTTGACACACATTTAATTATTTTTTGGCCATTGAACTAAATGAATCAAAGAGAATTAACAAAAAAAAAAATGTAAATATGGGCATGCACTAAGACAAAAAGTGTGAAAATCATTTTCCTTTTAATTGCTTTAAGTCTTCCAACTTCTGCCTATACAGAAACCTCTCTCCGCAAAGCCTTTCTCCCTCTGCAACACAAAAAACCCTAAATCTACACCCAATCTCAGCCGTCAGCCCCTTGCTTCTGCTTGGGGTTGACAACAGCTTCTCCATTTAGCCTCTCCCTCCTCCCTTAACCTTTCCTAGCATCCTTCTAGCCTACCCGCCCCTCCCGCCGCCTCATGCCCCCATTCCTCTCACTAGTTATTTTTAAGACAACCTTATTTATTTTCCTGTTTCTATCCCTTCATCGATGCGGCCCAACACCTCTTTTCCCTCGCCATTTTGTGGGCATCTAGGGTTTCATGGCTTCCATGGAGCCTCCGCACTAAATTTGAAATTTGTCGCCCCCCTCCCCGCGGGGGTTTTCCCATAATTGAGGGCAAGACATGTGGTTTGGAGTTGGTATATTAGTTGCTGGTGGGTTGGATCCATCTCCTATGGCTGATTCTAATGGTTGTGTTGTTCCCTTGACTGATTCACAGCACTGCTGCCCTTATCTAGCCAAACCTATGGTGGCTTTGCCTCACTTTGCTTGTGGTAGTGGCAGATCTTACATATATAGTATCATCTTAGCTAGAGATAACCCATCCAGTGGACAAGGGCCGACGATGGACTCCATTCTCATATCAATGCTTATTTTATATGCACTGTGTCCAGTGGGTGATATCTCGCCTATCGAGTTATGTGGGCATCGTTTATCAGTAATGATTTTTGTGGTTTTGCTTGCTGGTGATGGCATTGCGTGTTGGTATTTGTAGGTCGTGTTTGTCATCTTCATGGTGAATTTGTACTAGAGTGCTTGTATTGGTATGGAGGTGCTTGTGCTTATGGTAACCATTAGGAGTTTACTGTTATGCTTATTTGTGTCATTCATCTCCAGATCAATGTATTGGTCACTGGAGAATGTACTCATAAGTTCATCTCTATCTAATCCTTGTTAGCTATTTGTGGTGAAGCTGTATGATGTGGTATGATTGAATTGAGTTGAATTGTTTGAGGCTAGATATGTTGTGGTAGCAGAAATCCACCATCTTCAGTCTAGACAAATTTTGTACTTACAAACAATTAAACACCGTTGATCAAAGACCAAAGCCACACACCTAAGGTGTTAAGGGGGTGGGGGGTTTGGCCAATGGATCTTCAATGCCTAAGTCAATTTCTCTAAAAGATAGAGTTTTATGGCTTAATTGTGTAGCAAAATCTTACCAAAAATTGGCGGAGATTGAGGTATTTATAGAGCATAGGGCCGACAATATGTCTAGGGTTTGCCATGTCATCTCTCTTCTTCTAGTTGACCAAGGTGTGTCATCCATTCAATGGATTAGGAAAGAATTATCCCGAATGTATTATTGAATAAATAATATCTTAAAATTATCATGTGGATTCTCGATTGGATTTGTTTGCGATTCTTTACTTGATTGAATTGGCCTTTAATTAGAAAAGCATAAAGATAAGATTTACTTATTAATCCTATCGTTAATACATTTGACTTTCTCCTTACCATGGGTAAGAGATCTTAGTATGATTGTAGTCAGCAACTCAGGTTTTCAAAAGGGTTGACCTATGCATGGAATAAATGTGAGCCTCACCAATTTAATAAGGGCATCCTTGTCATTTATGGTAAAAAGTCCACATGTCATCTCTAAGATTTTTAGATTACTTTTGGCTCCACATATACCATAAAGTCAACCCTCATTTCTTAAGGTAGCATGTTGACGGTTAAGGTAATGCTAAGGATATGTAAACGATATTTTGTAACCATATAATGTAGTTATTGATGATTGAATTATTACTTTTTTTTTTTATAGAAAACGATAGCAACTTTATTGATCAATAAGAAATCATACAAACCTCAAGGAGGACATCCTGGAGTATCTCAGAAGCCTCCTCAAACCAACAACTATTAAAATTTGAGATTAAAGCCAACTTGACCATTCTATGAGCCGCAAGATTGGCGGACTTACAAACATGACAAACTTTTGAATTAACGAAGTTTCGTAGAGTAGTTTTAATATCCTCCACAATCAAATTGAATGCCGCATCACAACCATGTGAATTGCCAATACCTTGAGCGACCTGCAGCGCATCCACCTCGGGGTTGACTTGCTACCATTGTCGATCCAAAGCTAAGGAAACTCCATCTCTGGCAGCGAATAGCTCAGCCATCTTCGGAGAATTGACATTAGAGAAGTTGCGAGTAAACCCACCAACATAATTACTGGCGTCATCACAGAATACCACACCAATTCCCTCGGTGTTTGTAGCTGCATAGAACGCTCCATCAACATAGATTTTTATCCAGTGAGATGGCGGTGGAGGCCAATGTATATGAAACTGGATGGGGTTGGATTTGGGAATAGGTTGAGCTTTGATAAAATCATACAGTTGCAGCCTAGCCATATGGCTGATAGTTGCCAGATTTTCCACCTTGTTATCCCACAACAACACATTCCATGATCGCCCAATGGAGTGAACCAGCATAAGAAATAAACAAAATTGACTTGATGTTAGATTGGTGGCTGATCCAATTGCAGACTGGAAAACAAGTGGCAGTAGCTCGACCGATCCTGATATTGGAGGAAAAAAGAACAGCCCGCGTACAAGAACACTCTTTTAGCACATGTAGCGCCAACTCTGAAGAGAAGCTACACAAAACGCAAACATTGTCCACCATAATGCCCTTGATTTCCGGGTAAGAACGTGTCGGAAGGGTAACCAGGCAAGCCCGCTAGACACAAAGTTTGACTCGTCCAGAAACCTTTGCATTCCATATTGAGTTCCAAAATGACAAATCATTAGAACGCGAGCTTGAAATGGATGGTTGATCATGAAGTGAGCAGGCATGTGATAAGCACTTTTAACCGAAAAAAGGCCTTTAGGATCGTAGTGCCAAGATAAGCGATTAGACGGGAGTTTTCTACTTAGAGGAATGGATAGTATCATAGCAGCTTCACTAGGCAAGAACAAGGATGCAATCAACTCCTCATTCCACGTAGTCAAAACAGAGGAAATTAAAAAAAATACAAACTCGTCACTGTAATCTAGTCACATAGGAGAAAAAGGGTGAAACAAATATGGCCTGTCAAGCTACCGATCCAACCAAATCTGAATTTATTCACCATCACCAACCAACCAGCCGAAACCACGTCAAGTATTA